CCTCCTCCTGCCTCTGAGCCCGCCCCCTGCCCAGCTTCCCGCCAACCACAGCGCCAGGACACGCCCCCTCCAGGTTTTGGCCCCGCCCCAATGCTTCATAGCCTCCTTTTTTTCTTGTTCCCACCCACTCGGCGCCTAGCTGACTCCTACCACGCTCTACTGTCACCCCAAAATCCAAACCAAACCTGCCCTGGAGTCAACGTTGACTCCTAAGGACCCTATAGAACCGAGCAGAACTGCTTCACACCGAATCTTCAAGGAAGCAGACTGCCTCAACAGTTTCCCTTTACGCGGCTGCTGGGTGCGAACCGCCAACCTTTGGGTGGGAGTCAAACATTTTAATCACTGCGCCACTATTACAGCCCGATCTAATTACGAGCTCCACCCCAGTTTTCTAGCCTCCTCCCCCATCGCTAGCCCCGCCCCCCAGACTTTGGCTTTCCTCCACCCCTTGCTTTTGTCCGTAAACAGCCATCGGATGTCCACCCTTTACCCACTTCTAGCCTCAACCCTCAGGTTCAGGTCGACCCTGTTTCCACTTCACAGCTGGTCACAGCGCTGCACCCGGACCGCACCCTACAGCTCTGAGTCCGGCCTTCAACCTGTTACAGCCTCCAGCTGTTAAAAACCCTCACCTGAACCCACTTCCCTGGGCCAGCTCCTCACTCCTCTTAGCCCCGCCACACCACTTAACTCCGCTTGGCAGAACTCTGGCCCTGCTGCAAGTACCCAGTTGAAACTAATAAACGACCAGGGTAGTCGTGGAATGACATCAAGGCCGTCACATGTGAAGAACGCAAAGGCCATTAGCGACCCAAATGGGTGTCAGCAAGGACTCTTAAATCTCGCTCTTGAACGCAGAGTGACTACAGCAAATAAAGACATGATGGGTGGCTCAAGAATCCATAGAGTAAACTAGATCCTGAGATGTGCAAAATTCTGGAGTCAGTAAACCTGAAGCGCATGTTCAGTGTACCCCAAGCTGAAAGAAAGTCAAATCTCAAGTTGCAATGTTAAAGGATTCTGGGCAAGACACTGAACAATGAAGGAAGCCTCCAAAGATGGAAGGAATACAAAGTCACGGTATTTAAGAAGAACTAGCTGTTGATCAACAGTTTCGGGAGGTAGCGTATGATCAAGAACTGATGTCATTGAAGGAAGAAGTCCAAGCTGCACTGAAGGTATTGGTGAAAACCGAGGCTCGGAAATTAGCAGGACACTTCATCGGGTTGTTTCAACAAATGGAGGTGGTGCTGGAAGGGCTTGTTTGTGCCAAGATATTTCGAAGACGTAGCTACTTGGCCAACCGTCTTGCAGGGATCCCTATTTGTCCCCATCCCAAATAAAAGTACAAATGTTTGGGTTTGGTTTTTTTTAATGTCGTTACTATTAACATCAATATCCTTAGTATGAAATCATGCTGAAAATCATCCCAAAATGATTGCAGTGGCACATGGACAATGAACGACCAGAGACTCGAGCCAGATTCACTAGCGATGTGGAACAGGGGTCTCTCGTTGCTGATGTCAGATGGATCCTGGCCAGAAGCAGGGTAACCAGGATGGTGTTACTTGCATTTACGAGCTCTGCAAAGGCATTTGACTGTGTGGATCCTAACAAATTCATGTTTATTGAGAATGGGAAGTCCAGAGCACATCATTGTGCTCATGGACAACAGGCAGTTGTTCAGACAGAATGGGGAGGGGTGGGAATACTGTATGGCTTAAGGGTATCCAGGTGGCATCCTACCGCCTATAGCTTCCATCTGTACGCTGGCAAGCAATGAGAGACGGGACAATGGGAGGAAAAGCAGAGCGAGAGAATCGGAGAACAAGCAAACCTGTGAGGTACAGGTGAGGAAACCTTGCTTGCTCAAAGTGAAGAGGGCTGGGGGCACTGATGGGCACAAGCTGAAGACGACTGCCTTCAATATGGCCTAACTTCAAGACAGGGGGTGGGCATCACACCTCACAACTGGACCAATAAGCAACTTAACAAAAGGAAAAAAAAAATCCAGGGGTCAAGAATCAAGGATTTCATTCTACCTGGCTCCAAATCAACGCTCCTAGAAGCCACCGTCGACACCGACCACTCAAAAAACAGATAATAAAAAAATAAACAAAAAGAAATCGACCACTCTATTGCACTGGGCAAAAAGAATTAAAAAAAAAAACTATTCAGCGTATTTGAAGGATGTCACTTTGAGGACTAAAGTATGCCGACCCACTTCATGGGTCAGGAATAGGGAAGCGTGAAAAAAAACTGATGGATGTGAGTCATAGTAAAATCTGCGTTGGGAGGAGACGACCAGAACGCACCTTCCCAGTGAGGATGTCTAGATGTCCTCTCACGTTACTTCGTACTTGTTTTCCGAAGTAACTAGTCCCCGGGGGAGGTTATGGTGTTTGGTAGGGGGTCAGCAGAGTGGACAGCCCTCAAAAGAGATGGAATGACGTAATGACTCCAACAACGGGCATAAAGAGCAATGACCTAGGCTGGCGGAGGACCCGGCTGGGTCTCTCTCTACAGGGGTCCCTAACAGTCCGAACCAGAGGCTAGGCGCCTAGCCACTTGAAAGCGCCTCACCCACACCCCTGAAGAGCCAGGCTCCCAACCACCAACCCCAGGCTCCGGGCCCCTGGCTCCGCCCAGCCAAGCTCAAGGTTTCGCGCCCTGGACGTAAGGGGTGCGAGGCCAGCTCTCGGAGGTGGGGGTAGATAAGCCCCTCCCAGCAGCGTCTTCAGACATTGGAGGAAGCCTGTGGGAGTGGGGGGGTGAGGTGTCAAGGAGGTGGGAAAGGCCCATCCTCCCTCCGGTCCTCCGCTCATCAGCCCGCAAGCGCAGCGGTCTCCCCCGCCCCCAGCAGTTAGGATCACAGCTCAGAGGTTAGCGGAAGCATTGCGTTTAATTCAAGTCCTTGGAAGTGGCCCAGGTGTGCGCTCCCGGAGGCAGGACATCCGGCTCGGGGTCTGGCCTTTAGTCCTCTACAGCAGCCACCAGGGGATGACCCCCAGCCAAGCCCCAGGTGCCGGGACTTCCCCCGCCGCAGGGGCTGGACCGCCGCCCTGGGCTCCGCCCCCGGCAGTTAACCCTCTCTGGGCAGTGGCCTGGCACAAGCAGAGGGCGCGGGAGCGACAGCGGGAGGTTAGCGCGGGGCGCGGCGGCCCGGCGGCGGGAGCGGTCAGCGGGCGGCCCCCGGGGACGGCGCGGCCGCCACCACCTTGCAGAAACGCACCCGCTGGAGGTCGGTGATCTCGGCCGTCTCCTGGGGCTCGGGGCCCGCCTCTGCGGAGAGAAGGGGCGGTCAGCGGCGGGCAGCTTCGCCCTGCCCCCACCCCACCTTTGCAACAGCTGGGCCCACGCTAAACGGCTTCCTCGTTTAATCGGCTCAGGAGGCCCAGAGCCGCGGGCACCCCTCTCGCGCCCGGTCTACAGCCCTCACCTGGGAGCTACCGGCCTTCTCAGACCCCTGCCAGGCTCCAACAACCAGCCCCACCCACTTGCCCTGCTCTCCCGCACCGCCTTGCCCCACCCCAGCCCAGCCAGACCTAATCCGTCCCAGTCACCAGCCCCTCCTCATCTAACCCCACTCCCGCGGGGTGGGAAGGCCGAGGGGGGCGAATGACAGCGTGGGCCTCCGGCTCCCACTCCGTCGGGCCCACCTAGGGTCCTGCCCTTCCAGTTCTAATCAAGCCGCACATCTGCCCCAGTGGGCTGCACCTTCAAACGAACCCCACAGTTTAAACCCCCACACTCCATCCTTACTGACGGCCACTCCGATGAAACTGCCTTTAGCTGCTTCCTGCGACCCTTTCAAGAACCTGGAGACTGCTTTCCAGACCACCCCTCAACTGGCTGGAAAATTCGAACCCACTTTGCCCCAGCCCCACTCTGGCCCCGCCCACACACAATTTCCCCAAACGTAGTCCTCTTAGCTCCACCCCGGGCGGGCTGCCCCCATTCAACCCCGGCCGGCCCCATCCCGGCACTCATTGGCCCTCGCGGACACTGGCCCCACCCCCTGACCGACCACATCCTCTCCCTCCCCTCCTCAGAGCAAAAGGGAAGGCGCGCCGGGCGCCACGCCCACGCCCCCCCACCTGGAGCCGCCTCAGACCCCTCCTCCTCTTCAGCTGGCTGGCTTCCGGGGAGGCTGGGCCCAGTGTCTGGGGAGGCGGGGGCCAGCTGGTCACCTCCTAGGGAAGGGGGCGCCCAGTTAGCACCCCTTTTTCCTTGCATGTCCCCCCAGCCAGCAGCTTTGAGGGAGTTTGGGGTGGGGGGCTCATGGACACGCTTAAAGGGGTGAATTCTTTATTGGGAATGGCTGGGGTGGCAGGCAGGCAGGTAGGGAGAGGGAGGGGAGAATATAGTGAGGTATGGGTTGCCCTGTTCCGCCCTGGGGGCTGTGAGGGTAGCTGGGGTACACTCCCCAGGGACCCCACCCACAGGGAGCCGCTTCATGCATCCCCGAAAGGCCAGGCCTCACCGGGAGAAGAGGCGCCAGCTGGGTGGGCGGTGCGGGGGGAGTTCAGCTCCATCTCTTCACCCCAGTCAGACACAGGTTGGTGACCCCCATCAGGCGAGAAGGGGCTGGTCGGTGAGGCAGGGGCCTGGGCAGGCGTTGGGGTCTCCGTAGGCTCACTGACAGGATGCCCAGCAGCTTCCTGGGGTTGGTCTGGAGCTGGCTCCTCCTCCTCTTCCGCTTCTTCAGCACCCTCCTCTTCCTCCTCCTCCAACTCTTCCTCGCTCTCCTCCCCACTAATGTCCTCCCACTCCTCGTCCTCCTCCCCCTCATCTTCAGGAGGCAGGTGGGTGGGGGCTGGGCCCTCGGATGCCTGAGGGGGACAAGAGGAAGGCTGGGAGGTGGGCTTGGGCACCCCTACACCCCCACCTTGAGATAGAGCCCAGCCATACCTGTGTGTGCGGCTCCTTGGGAGGAATGGGCTGGGGGGGCTCTGGGGATGGGGCCGCCGTCTCCTTGGTCTGCTCCCAACGGTCATCATGGTCACTGACGGGGTGGGGAAAGAGGTAAGGCCTAGGTGGATAGCAGGGGGCGCTACAGGCCTCAGCTAGGGGTGGGGGCTGGGGGCATGAGGACTCAGCTGAGGGGAGTACCTAGCTGGGGGGTGGGGGGTGGAAACGGTGGAGGCCCTGGGTGTCATGGAGGCAGGCGGCTGAATGGGGTCCACATGGCACAAGGGGAGACAGGTGGGAAGGGAGGAAGGGACAGATCAGGGTTCAATAGAGACCTGATCCCCATCCCATCCCAAATAAGGGCCAGACCAACAGAGATGAGAGAAACAGGCCAAGCACAAGACAGACAGATGTGGGCAGAGACACACACACACACACACAGCTATACCAATCCCCCCAAACCCCACTGCAACCAAGTCTGTTCTGACCCAAGGCCACCTGGCATGTCACACAGCAGGACTGTCCCTAGGGTTTTCTTGGGTCCGAGTTTTACAGGGCAGACCACCAGGCCTTTCTTCTGTGGTGCCCCTGAGCTGCCGACCTTTAGCAAACTACCTGCAGCACCCAGGGACCCAGGGGCTACCCAGACACAGGGGGAATGGGGCGGGGGGGCACCTGTAGGCACGCGGGGCCGCCTTGGCAGGGGGCCGGCTGTTCTTTCTCCTCCTCCGGTTGTTGACCTCAGCTTTGTGCTGAGACAGGAACTCCCCGAAAGTCGGGGGCTTGGGAGGCCGGACCCAGGGCTGGTCATCTGCAAGAAAACCAGGGGTGGTCTTCGGCATGTGGCCCATACCACCGGCCTACCCTCACAGCCCAGAGGGATGTCCCTCCAGGGTCCAGCGCTAGCCACTCACCTGAGCCAGCTGATGGTTCCAGGACAGAGGCGGGGCCATCCTTGAACCTGGAGAGCAAGAAAGAGGCTGAGCTGGGGGGGGGGCAGAGGGAGCAGGAGAGCAGGGAGTGAAGAGGGAGAACGAGGTGAAGGCCAGGGCCAGACCCAGGGTTCACCAAGGAGAGCAGAAAGAGTGGAACTGGGGGCCCCATGGCAAAAGTCTGGGGCGACTGGACCCTTTCAAAATGTACAAGTCCTGCCGTTTCCCTTTTTTATCCCCTTCTT